TTTTTGACTTCTCAGTCCTTTCCTACCTGGAATTCTCTTCGGGAGTCACGGGATGTCTCTCCAGCAGAATTTTTTCATTACCTTCAATTGAGGCATTGGCTGATCTCGTTGCGGGGCATGTCTGCTTTCCCATACCAGAAATCTGCCTTTGAACGGCTTTGCCAACAGCGTCGGGGTGCCCCGGGTCTTATTTCCCTTCTTTATACAGCTTTGAACAGATGCTTGACGCATACTTCTCTCTTATATGTCGCTCAGTGGGAGCGCAACAAGGGGGCAGTCGTGGATCTGGAAGACTGGAATAGGGCCTGGTCGCTTCTAGCTAAATGTTCATTTAATACAACCATGCTGGAGGCAACATACAAAGTATTGTTGAGTTCCAGCTCGTTTGGCCCAAGCGAACCCTGCCTGCAGTGATCGATGCTTTCAGGGTTGTGGCCATCATGGTGATGTATTGCATATCTGGTGGTCATGCCCGAGAAAATTGCTCAGGCCTGGAAGAGCCCATTTGTTCCTCTTCAGGGGGTTCGGGACCGTATGACCATTATGATGCTCAATGAACAGATGTCGAGTATCTGCAACGACTCCCAACGTAAATTCTTGAAAATATGGGAGCCATGGTTGCAATATGCCTTTACCATGCTCCCCCCGGCTAGTCTGGGGACGTGATGTTGTTCAGTATTGGCGTTCTTGGACCCCTGGCTCTTGGTTTTGTTATCTTTTTTTCTTTTGTACTCCTCCTTTAGTTTGAGCTACTATCGGTGTTATACTAATGTTTTGTCATTTAAGTGCCATTGATAGCCCCTGGGTAGGTGCACCCTTTTGCTCTGTTGGTGTTAGAGCACTGTTTTTTCTAATTTTTATATGTGCAATCGATAGCCCCTGCATGGGCCTAATTTGTTGCTCCTGTGTTAAACTGTTAAAAATTTCTAAAAACCATTGAAATACAATATATATATATAATATGATCAGGGGCGTATTTTCAGCAAGGCAAACAAGGCATTTGCCTAGGGCGGCACTTTTTAGGGGGACGGCAACGCCGCCCCCCCTTTCCCATGGAAGGGACACTTTGTACAGGGACGGGCTGCTGTACCTTGCAAAGCAAGATAGTTCAAGCCGTGATTTGTCATCATTGTGATGATTATGGCTTACAGCTCATGAAAACCCCAAATCCACAATCTCAGAAAATGAGAATATTCCATGCAATCAGTAAAACAAGGATTGTACATAGAACAATATCGGACCTCTGAAAAGTAGAAGCATGCATATGTACTCAGTACTTGGTTTGGGCCCCTTTTGCAGCAATTACTGCCTCAAGCGGCGTGGCATGGAAGCTATCAGCCTGTGGCACTGCTGAGGTGTTATGGAAGACCAGGATGCTTCAATAGAGGCCTTCAGCTCTTCTGCATTGTTCGGTCTCATGTCTCTCATCCAGGGGCGGACTGACCATTTGGAAACTCGGGCATTGCCCGAGGGCCCAGGGTCAGTAGGGGGCCCCATGAGATGCCCCTGGTTCCTTTTTCATAGGCTTTTTTGAGTTTGGGCAAGGTCACAGGGGCCCCATGATCCCCTATTGCCAGGGGGCCCCATGAGTTGTCAGTCCGCCCCTGCTCTCATCTTTCTCTTGGCAATGCCCCATAGATTCTCTATAGGGTTCAGGTCAGGCGAGTTTGCTGGCCAATCAAGCACAGTAATCCCACGGTCATTGAGCCAGGTTTTGGTGCTTTTGGCAGTGTGGGCAGTGCCAAGTCCTGCTGGAAAATTAAGTCAGCATCCCCATAAAGCTCATCTGCGGAAGGAAGCATGAAGTGCTCCAAAAAGTGCTCCAAAATCTTCTGGTAGATGGCTGCATTGACCCTGGACTTAATGAAGCACAGTGGACCAACACCAGCAGATGACATGGCTCCCCAAATCAACACAGACTGTGGAAACTTCACACTGGACTTCAAGCATCTTGCAGTGTGTGCCTCTCCATTCTTCCTCCATACTCTGGGTCCTTGAGCCTCTCCATTCTTCCTCCATACTCTGGGTCCTTGGGCCTCTCCATTCTTCCTCCATACTCAGGGTCCTTGAGCCTCTCCATTCTTCCTCCATACTCGGGGTCCTTGGGCCTCTCCATTCTTCCTCCATATTCTGGGTCCTTGGTTTCCAAATGAGATGCAAAAGTTGTTCTCATCAGAAAAGAGGACTTTGGACCACTGAGCAACAGACCAGGTCTGTTTTTCTTTAGCCCAGGTAAGATGCTTCTGATGTTGTTTGTTGTTCAGGAGTGTCTTGACAAGAGGAATACGACATTTGAAGCCCATGTCCAGGATCCATCTGTGTGTGGTGGCTCTTGATGCACTGACTCCAGCCTCAGTCCACTCCTTGTGAAAGTCCCCAACACTTTTGAATGGCCTTTTCCTGAAATCCTCTCCAGGCTGCGGTCATCCCTGCTGCTTGTGCACCTTTTTCTTCCACACTTTTCCCTTCCACAAAACTTTCTATTAATGTGCTTTGATACAGCACTTTGGGAACATCCAACTTCTTTTGCAATTACCTTTTGAGGCTTTCCCTCCTTATGGAGGGTGTCAATGATGGTGTCAGGTCAGCAGTCTTTCCCATGATTGTGTTTCCTACTGAACCAGACTGAGAGACCATTTAAAGGCTCAGGAACCCTTTGCAGGTGTTATGGCTTAATTATCTGATTAGAGTGGGACACTTTGAGCTGAGAATATTGCACCTTTTCACAATATTCTCATTTTCTGAGATTGTGGATTTGGGGTTTTCATGAGCTGTAAGCCATAATCATCACAATGATGACAAATCACGGCTTGAACTATCTTGCTTTGCATGTAATGAGTCTATCTCATATATTAGTTTCACCTTTTAAGTTGCATTACTGAAACAAATGAACATTTGCACGATATTCTAATTTTTTGAGTTTCACCTGTATATCCTATCAAGTGTAGAGGGGAGCCACACAGGCCCCCTGGAGCATGGGGCTGGGTTGAACTGCAACCCCTGTAGGTACATCCCTGGATATAAAAATACTGCATTATGGCCAATAGATGGAGCTAATGATCATAGTAAATAAGTATTTCCCCATACAGTTTAGTTTCACAGTCAAACTGCTTTCCAATTCTTTTTATCTTTTTTAAAAATACTCTCCATAGATCCCAGTGGGGCTGTGCCTGCTCTGCAATGGTTAATTGCTCATTTAGGTTTAGGGGACATAGATTTTTCCTTTTTAGTTACCCAATCTTCCACAGTGCTAGACCAGCCCTCACATCTTCTCCCCCATGCTCCATCGTTCTAAGCTCCTGAAATCACCAAGGCGCATGCAGGGTCTATAGCCCTGCATTGGATGAGGTGATGCTGAAGAATGTTTACAGCTGGAGCATGGGAGGGAAGCACCATTTGCTGGTGGGGAGTGAGGGATCAGGTAAGTGAAAGTGCAAAAACTCTCCCCTAGACTAAATGGGCGGTTAACCACCACTGCAAGAGGTTTTTTTTTGTTTGTTGGACTTCATAAGGATCCTTAGGTTTAGGTATGGGATGGTGATAAAAATAAAATGTCAAACAAAATAAATTGAAAAAAAAAAAAAATTCAAATATTAAAAATAAAAATCGGTTGGGAAAATAAAACAGCCTTAGTTACACGTACAGTATACTTGTAATGCCTTTTTTATTTTTTTATTTTTTTTTTGGGGATGAGTGTTTGCGCACGCATAAATGTGTATATAACCTTTTGCCCTTTATGAACCTTCTTCAGAGAAAATAAAATGCAGACAGACATTCATAAAATAATCTTTATATAAAAGTGTATCCAATAAATAACAGTATCAAACATGTATTTAGTATAAATATGTGTTATGTACAGTTATTTGCTACGTTATCCCGGCCTCGCCCCCCAGAATCTCCTTGCTTCCAGACGCGGAACGATTTAATCTCTGCAAAAAGACAGATCATCGTAAAAGTTCTACTATAGGGTTTTGACCCGGCCTAGGCATTGTGAGAGCCCTGTATAAAAAAAAAAAAAAAAAGGGGGGGGCAGAGGGGGTTTAAAGCCTTTATAATTTCTGCAAAGTGACAAAATTTGTACTTTTAAGAAGTAAAAAAAAATGGAAAAAAAAAAAACTGAACTAGTGCAGCTACATGTATCACACACCAGTTTTAATCCGGATTTGTCTGATTAGGCACAGATCCAAAAACATGTCGCACTGCAACATGCCAAGGATAAAAAATGCTACAATTTTACCAAATTTCTACCTCAAAAATGCCAAAATGTCATTTAATTTACTTTGGGCAACAGGTACATGGTGCAAGTACCAGTGTAAACTGTCATGGGGGGGGGGGGGGGGGTTGTTGGTTATATGCATTTTACTTATATGGTAGAGACTCTTGAAATATGTGGGTCCTAAAAGAAGTGTACCCTTCATTCCCTTAAATAAAATTTTCATGCAATTCATGCAAGCATTGCAAAAACAAAAAGGGGAGGATATTGTATCATCAATTTATGGAAGACAAGTGGAGACGGCTTATAGAACTTGGGACTCATGGATCCCAAAACCACTTTGCTAAATTTCCAAAATCATGTCCTTCTTGGTCTACAGAAACAAGACACCCAAACGTTGGGCCATCTCATCATAGGTACAACAAAGGAGACTTTGCTTGGTGTAGAAAGCTTATATTGATAGAACCCAACACCCACATACAGTGACCCAACACCCACATACAGTGACCCAACACCCACATACAGTGACCAGTATAGTGATAGGACCCTGGCCCTACAAGAAGAGGCTTCTCAAGAAGACAATTGTCAGAACGCTCGCCAATTTTTGGCTCATTTATGTCCATATCCATTTGTCCATAGTGCTTTTTTTAGTGAAGGGAGAACTCATACAGCTTCCCACAGTAGTTTGCAGATCCCCTTTCCAAGGCCTAGTCGCCCCCTTGAACAAACTGGACAGTCAGAAGTTCTAGTGATCAACAGTTCAGATAGACATCAAGTCCGTGTAGATTCAGATGTCAAGATCAACATCATCCGCCTCCATCTCTTTTTCATCTGTGTGTTCAGAGTTGTCAGGGGAGATGACACCAAACTGAGACAATTTAGCTTTTTTCTGTTCCATGCTCTGTTTTCTCCATTTAATACGACGATTCTGGAACCAAACCTTTACCTAAAAATGCAACAAAAAGAAAAGAAAAAAATAAATAAAAGTGTTCCACGTGAAAACAGTAGCAAAACCAAAGTGGTCACAAAAAAGAGGTTTCCTAGGAAGGCTACAATTAGGTTGTCATCTACATTTAAATACAACCAAACTTCCCAAAGAAGAAAAGGCTTCTGGGTAATGGCATAGTTTACTAACTAGGCTTGTAAGTGAACGGCCCAACCTACCAGATGCTTGAGGAAATTAGGCCAAGCCAAGCACGGTAACATTCAAGCCAATGGGCATTCATCGGCACAGGACTGGTGGTTCTAGCCATTTGTGAAGGGTCATAGGAGAAGCAGCACTTAAACATTTCCCAAACTCTCCTACTGTCCTACAGGTTGCATTAGACATTGTCAACCTATAAACCTCAAACTCAAGAAGGAGCAACATTTCTTCTGCATAAAGATATCAGTGATACAATATATTTACAGGAAACATGGTTTGAAGTAATTAATAACCAATATTGAACGCTACATTTTGTCAACTTGCACCTAGCCCTGCTAAAGGTGCAAGTAAACATTTTTTTGGGCAACCCAAAATATTCATAAACACGCCTAGTCAATGCTACATAAAGGCTTTCATCCAGCTGTTCCTTTGTCCAAAAGGGTCACAAACTAAATTTTGACCTGCCAGCTATAAATTAATTGAAAGCTCTTCAAAAAAAAGAAAACCAATTTACATGTATAGCTTGAAGTTGTGGGACCAATGTCCCTAGTAGACCATGTGAACATATCATGTAGTGCTTAAAGTTATAGGACTAATGCCCCTGGTAGACCATATCATGCATTGTGTGACATTATGGGACCAATGCCCCTAGTAGACCATGTGAACATATCATGGGGTGCTTGAAGTTATGGAATGAATGCCCCTAGTAGACCATGTGAACATATCACGGGGTGCTTGAAATTTTTGGACTGATGCCCCCTAGAAGACCATGTGAACATATCATGTAAGGCTTGAAGTTATGGGACTAATACCCCCCCTAGTAGACCATGTGAGCATATCATGTAAAGCTTGAAGTTATGGGACTAATGTCCCTAGTAGACCATGTGAACATATCATGTAAAGCTTGAAGTTATGGGACTAATGCCCCCCCCCCCCCCCCAGTAGACCATGTGAACATATCATGGAAAGCTTGAAGTTATGGGACTAATGCCCCTATTAGACCATGTGAACATATCATGGAAAACTTGAAGTTATGGGACTAATGCCCCCTAGTAGACCATGTGAACATATCATGGAAAGCTTGAAGTTATGGGACTAATGCCCCCTAGTAGACCATGTGAACATATCATGGAAAGCTTGAAGTTATGGGACTAATGCCCCCTAGTAGACCATGTGAACATATCATGGAAAGCTTGAAGTTATGGGACTAATGCCCCCTAGTAGACCATTTGAACATATTATGTAAAGCTTGAAGTTATGGGACTAATGCCCCCTAGTAGACCATTTGAACATATCATGTAAAGCTTGAAGTTATGGGATTAATGCCCCCTAGTAGACCATGTGAACATATGGAAAGCTTGAAGTTATGGGACTAATGCCCCCTAGAAGACCATGTGAACATATCATGGAAAGCTTGAAGTTATGGGACTAATGCCCCCTAGTAAACCATGTGAACATATCATGTAAAGCTTGAAGTTATGGGACTAATGCCCCCTAGTAGACCATGTGAACATATGGAAAGCTTGAAGTTATGGGACTAATGTCCCTAACAGACCATGTGAACATTATAACAACAAGCAAAACTGTAAGACAAAAGGCTTGTACTAAAATGGTTCATTCTAGTCTAAATACAGGATGTCCATCTTACCTGAGTCTCAGTAAGGTTCAGAGCAGCTGCTAGGTCAACCCGTTCTGTGCCAACCATGTATTGCTGTTTAATAAAGTCTTTCTCCAGCCTCTCTAATTGCTCTGGAGTGAAAACGGTCCTGACCCTCTTTATCTTACAGGGGCCAGTCCTCCAAGACAGATTATTGATGGGGCTGTGTGTGTATGCAAGTCCTAGGAGAGACACAAGAGGGCGCTATTAGCATGCTAAATGATTTACAAAGCACCACTCAAAATATAAATAAATAAACACCACACACACGCCACACTTTTACAAAGTTTCACAATACTAAAAACGAAAAAAAAAAGAAAAAAAAACCCACAAACACTTTTACAAAAGTTTCACAATACTAAAAACGAAAAAATAAAAAATATAGGGAAAAGTTAAAAAAAAAATGAAGAGAAAAACCCCCACACACACCCACACACAAACACACTTTTACAAAGTTTCACAATACTAAAAAAAAAAATTTAAAAAGCAAATGTAGGGGGAAAAAAAAAAACCCACACACAAAAACAACACTTTTACAATACTAAAAACGAAAAAAGAAAACATAGGGGGAAAAAACCCACACTAACACTTTTACAAAGTTTCACAATACGAAAAAAGCAAAAAAAAAAAAGCCCAAAAACACTTTTACAAAGTTTCACAATACTAAACGAAAAAAAAAAAAAGGAAAAAACCCACAAACACTTTTACAAAAGTTTCACAATACTAAAAACGAAAAAATAAAAAATATAGGGAAAAGTTAAAAAAAAAATGAAGAGAAAAAAACCCCCACACACACCCACACACAAACACACTTTTACAAAGTTTCACAATACTAAAAAAAAAAACTTAAAAAGCAAATGTAGGGGGAAAAAAAAACCCACACACAAAAACAACACTTTTACAATACTAAAAACGAAAAAAGAAAACATAGGGGGGGGAAAAGAAAACATAGGGGGAAAAAACCCACACTAACACTTTTACAAAGTTTCACAATACGAAAAAAAGCAAAAAAAAAAGCCCAAAAACACTTTTACAAAGTTTCACAATACTAAACGAAAAAAAAAAAGGAAAAAACCCACAAACACTTTTACAAGTTTCACAATACTAAACGAAAAAATAAAAAAATATAGGGGAAAGTAAAAAAAAAAAGAAAAAAAAGAGAGAGAAAAACCCCACACACACTTTTACGAAGTTTCACAATACTAAAAGAAAATGTAGGGGAAAAGGAAAAAAAACCCACACACAAAAACAAACCGTTTTTACAAAAGTTTCACAATACTAAAAACGAAAAAAGAAAATATAGGAAAAAAGAAAAAAGAGGAAAAAAAAAAAAGCCCACAAACACTTTTAAAAAGTTTCACAATACAGAAAAAAAAAAAGAAAAAAAGCCCACACAAACACTTTTACAAAGTTTCACAATACTAAAAACGAAAAAAAAAAAAATGTAGTAGGGGAAAAAACAATTTTCAATGTTAGGATAGGTTTATATTTAGCTACTGTACAAGGTTCAGATGCTAAAACTGGAGGATTACAAAATCTGCGTAGTAACCAATCAGCTTCCAGGTTTTATAGTCAACGTTTAATTAAACAAGCCGGTGTGAGAAGCCGATTGGCTCCCGTGCACATCTGCACCAGTTTTAGTAAATTTCCCTCTTACTTACAGTACAAATTAAAAACCGAATAGTTGCAACAGATCCACAAAAACGAATTTCTGGAATGCTGAGACTTGCAGTCCCACCAGTGCAAACTTTTATTTCATGAGCTAAGGAACCAGGAGAACTACAAGTCCTAGCAAAGGCACGCTGAAGGTTGCAGTTCTCCTAAGTGCTGGAGGTAGCAGGTCTCCAGTAAATTGGCCAGTTATGGGTTAAACACTCACCCTTGTCCTTGCAGAGGGGTCGGCACACAGGCAGTTGGCTCTGGGCGCTCGGACGTGGGGCTGAGGCCGCACCAGGTTGCCGTAGGCAGCTGCCGTCTGGTATATCCACATTGGAGGATAGGGCACGACTCCGTAGGAATAGCCATAGGGCAGAGGAGGAGAAGGGGGGAGCCTGCCAGCTCCTGTCCATTGGAACTCTGGTGGGGATCGGTCTCTTCACGTTGGAGAGGATGGAGTCGATGTTGAAGGAGAGCCGGGGGGCCCTCTGCGCTTCAGAGATCACAGGCATGCTGGGGCTGGACTGAGGCAGGTGATGGGGAGCTGGGAATCCGGGAAAGACTGGGCTGTGCAGCATGGTGATCTCCCTGGAAGAGGTCAGTGCGGAGGAGCCGGGTGAGTATTATCCAAGATCGGTCCCTGGAATGCTGGCCAAGTCCCAACTCAGCCCCTTATATTCCCCTCTGCACTCTCACATGCTAATCCCACCATTAGCATGCAAATAGGTGCAGAGAGATGCTGGGGGCTCTTTTCACACCAGCCACCTCTCTACAAACACACACTGCACTCCTGAGGGGAGGAGAGAGGAAATGATCCTACACAGCTTCCTCTAGCCCCCCCCCCCCCCCCTTTTACATGCTTCCCAGTGTACCCTCCACCATTGATTGGACCCCATTACTTTCCACAGGAGCCTGAAACCCGTTTATTGCATTCACAGCTTGCACCCCTGTACCCTACTTCCAGGCTGCATCCTTTTATCTCCCACAGCTCTCACCCCTTTACCCTACGTCCAGGCTGCACCCTTTTATCCTCCACAGCTTTCACCCCTGTACCCTACTTCCAGGCAGCATCCTTTTATCCTCCATAGCTCTCACCCCCTGTACCCTACTTCCAGGCAGCATCCTTTTATCTCCCACAGCTTTCACCCCTGTACCCTACTTCCAGGCAGCATCCTTTTATCCTCCACATCTTTCACCCCTGTACCCTACTTCCAGGCAGCATCCTTTTATCCTCCACATCTTTCACCCCTGTACCCTACTTCCAGGCAGGATCCTTTTATCCTCCACACAGCTTGCACCCCTTTACCATACTTCCAGGCTGCACCCTTTTATCCTCCATAGCTTGCACCCCTTTACCCGACTTGCAGGCAGTACCCTTTTATCTCCCACAGCTTGCACCCCTTTACCCTACGTCCAGGCTGCACCCTTTTATCCTCCATAGCTCTCACCCCTGTACCCTACTTCCAGGCAGCATCCTTTCATCCTCCACAGCTCTCACCCCTGTACCCTACTTCCAGGCAGCATCCTTTTATCCTCCACACAGCTTGCACCCCTTTACCATACTTCCAGGCTGCACCTTTTTATCCTCCATAGCTTGCACCACTTTACCCGACTTCCAGGCTGCACCCTTTTATCCTCCATAGCTTGCACCCCTTTACCCGACTTGCAGGCAGTACCCTTTTATCTCCCACAGCTTGCACCCCTTTACCCTACTTCCAGACAGCATCCTTTTATCCTCCACAGCTCTCCCCCCTGTACCCTACTTCCAGGCTTCACCCTTCTATCCTCCACAGCTGGCACCCCTTTACCCTACTTCCAGACTCCACCCTTTCATTTTCAACAGCTTGCACCCCCCCTCTTCCTCACTCCCTAAACTACACCCCTTTACCTTCCTTTATAATCTGGAACCCCCTTATCCATTTACAGCGTGCACCCCTTAACCACAAGTCCCACCATGCACCTCATTGTCTTGCACCTCAGTCTGGAACGTTGTAAGCTTTTACTATCCTATACATTGTGCCCCCCCATATCTCAGCACCTTCCACCATAGCCCTGAACCCCATAACCTCTGTCCTCCACAATTTACACCACTACACCCCAAATTGCCACTTTCTTGATCCATATAACCCTCTACTGCCTTCCACAATCTGCACTCAAAAATAAACCTTTACCTTCCAGCACATCCTTTACGGTTCTTAATAATTTGCACCCCTCCACCTCAAATTGCACCTCTTTGCCTTTTAGCATTGCCTTGATTCCGATACTGACCTGCACATTTTGCACCCCAAATTACATCTCTTTACCTTCCATCACTACCTTGATCCCCATAATCGTTTGTTATTCTGCACCCCACATTTTATCATGACCACCACAACCCTAATCATTGTGTTGTTATACACCCCAAGCCTGAACACAAAATTCCAGCCTTTCATATAATCAAGAAAAACAAATAGGTGCACTTAGAAAGATAATCAATTGTGTTCTTACTCTGCAAATTAAAAAAACAAAACTATATATATATATATTGCAGTGCTGTGTACTTGCATAAAATTATGCTATAAACATTCATGTAAAACTCATTTTGCATTGCTGTCTACCTGTAATCCTGCATAAAAATATTATTTAATTGATTTTGCATTGCTATGTACTTGCATAGGATATTTAAAAATATATGCTATTAGAAAAAAAATCATTAAACAAATGCATTTTGTATTGCTGTGCCTGCAGTCCTGCATAAATTAGTATTTATCATTAACAATAATTTGATTTTTGCATTGCTGCGTACCTGAATAAAATATATGCTATAAAAAAAGAAATACAAAAAAATCATTCTGCATTGCTGTGTACCTGCAGTCCTGCATAAATGATATTATTATTATTTTGCATTGCTGCGTACCTGCATATGATATTTAAAATAGGCTACAAATAATCATAGAAAACTCATTTTGCATAGCTGTGTACCTGCAATCCTGCATAAAAATATTATTTATTTGCTTTTCCATGGCTGTGTACCTGCATAAAATATTTAAAATAGGCTATACAATTCATAAAAAAAACATAGGTGTCCTTTTATGAAACGAGATCAGCGGCGATCCTGAGGATCGTTGCTGATCTCCGATAATTTGTGGTTTAGGAAATGGAGATGATCAGCGGAGAACATGTTCTCCGCTCATCATCTCAGCACACAGATGGCCAGTATTGCATTGCTATGTACCTGCAGTCCTGAAAAAAAAACTGTTAAAAATAATTATTCGATTTTGCATTGCTGTGTACCCGCAGTCCTGCAAAAAAACTATTAGCAATGCAAAATCAAAAAAATATTAATAGTTTTTTGCAGGACTGCAGGTACATAGCAATGCAAAATCAAATAATTATTAATAGTTTTATGCAGGACTGCAGGTACACAGCAATGCAAAATCAAATAATAATTATTATTAATAGTTATGTAGGACTGCAGGTACACAACAATGCAAAATCAAATAATAATTATTATTATTATGTACCTGCAGTCCTGCATAAAACTATTAATTATTTGATTTTGCATTGCTGTGTACCTGCAGTCCTACATAACTATTAATAATTATTATTTGATTTTGCATTGCTGTGTACCTGCAGTCCTGCATAAAACTATTAATTATTTGATTTTGCATTGCTGTGTACCTGCAGTCCTGCATAAAACTATTAATTATTTGATTTTGAATTGCTATGTAACTGCAGTCCTGCATAAAACTATTATTAATAATTATTTGATTTTGCATTGCTGTGTACCTGCAGTCCTGCATAAAACTATTATTAATAATTATTTGATTTGGCATTGCTGTGTACCTGCACAAAATATTTAAAATAGGCTATAAATAATCATGGCAAAACTCATTTTGTATTGTTGTGTGCCTGCAATCCTGCAGAAAAAAAATATGTAAAATCTTTGCTAAGAATTATATTGAGTTTACATTGTTGTGCACCTGCATAAAATAAGACATGCTATGGATAATAGAAAACTGATTTTGCATAGCATTGCTTACAATGCAAAATCAGTATCTGCAATCTTGAAGAAGGAGAAAAAAAAAAGGGGGGGGGGGGGAACAAAAAAGGAAGGAAAAAAACCTACAAGCGAAACCTGTTTTGCAAATATAAACAGCCCATTGAGAAGTATAGGATTACATTTGTAACAAATCAAAGACGTGCAAAGCTTAGGTTCCTGCTTGAGATCAAAGGCGTTGGTGAAAGACACCATGTTGCGGATTAAAATGATATCTATAATAATATTTAAGTCGTTGTTAAAGTACAAATGTGGAAGTAAATAAGCCTTCACCCCCTGTGCAGCCCCCCTTCCCATAGAGGCCAGACATCACTGACTAGCAGCCATATGTCCCTGCCCCCCAGCACACTCTGCTCTGCAACTTGTAATTAAACTTATAATTAAACATAATTGTTTTAATGATAAATTCTCCCCAGCAGCGAACACATCCAGCCTGACAAGGAGACCAGATCTCCAGAGAGCCTCAGAGAGGGAAAAACAGGCAGAAAAATATACTTACCAGGTGATAAATATGGGGTGATACAGAGCAGCGACTACAATGACATTCTGCTGGGTGGGGAGGGGGGATTGCTATCTGAAGGGAATTTATCATTGATTTGGCAGCTTTGCTGATCATTTTCGAAGCAATTTACTAGTATTAGCTGTTCTAAAGCTATGGCCGCAATAAAATCTAATATTACCTTCAGCTCCAGTCATTATTACACGGGTGTCAAAAAAAATATCAAATAATAAACCAATTTGCAGCAAGGGAATTATTTACAATTTTTGAATCAAATCAATCTGCAGCTTTTTTTTTTTTTCATTTATTATTACTTGGTTTGTGAAAATATATAAAACTGCAACAGTGTATGGATTAAAGTTTTATCATTTTGTTTTTAAACATTTTAATATATATATATATATATATATATATATATATATATATATATATATATATATGCTCTGTTATTACCTATATTGTACATGTACTGCTGCAGATTGCTTGCGTAATAAATAATATATATATATAATCTGTAGCAGTATATGTTTTGACTATTGACTTGATAAAGAGAAACACGCACATATGTTTTAATTTTTATTTTTTACCTAATAAAGGAAAGCACACAAATATATATAATCAAAATTAAAAAACATACTGCTGCAGATTGTGTGCAATATAGATATATATATAGATAGATAGATAGATAGATAGATAGATAGATAGATAGATAGATAGATAGATATAGATAGATAGATATATATAAATCTGCAACAGTATGTTTTGCATTTTTACTTAAAAAAGTCGCATTGTAAAAATATTTATTACTGCAAATTATTTTATAAGTGTGTGTGTGTGTATATATATATATATATTTGATATCTAATCTGCACCAGTATATGTTTAAAATTTTGACTTATAA